ACTTATTGATCCATTAGACGTCCCAAAGGCAATTATTAGAATCACTGTCGATAATGAAATGTAATAAATGGTTTTATAAGTTTCCTAAGACCAACTTTGATATGAAATCATATGCCATCAATTACATGCTTAATCTGAATCAAAATTATTAAAAGGAGAGTGATTCTAAGGATATTTTTCGGGTCACTATATAGTTATTATGTATTTTTTTAATAAAAAAATATGGGATCATTTTTGGACAAAAGTCTGAAATATATCTCGTACCTATTTCCAAATAACTTATATTTTTGTGTCATTAGTCCAAAAAACATCACCAATCTTTTTGTGTCAATACTCAATTCTTAAAATTCTTAAGGTCGTGCACAGTTAATTATAAATGTCATTTAAATATTTATACAAAGTATGCAAGAAAACTTAATTTTAGTCTCGTAATATTATCTTATTGTTTCTAAAAATGATTCTTTGTCCCACTGAATCTTAAAAATATGAATTCTAAAGTCCTTATATGAGGACGGTGTGACTATTTCTACGCAATGTTTGTCAGTTGAAATGAAACATTCAACAATTATCCTTTTTTTTTTTTATATAATTTATTTACTTCCCATATACAGCTATACACTGCATCTTGTGGTCTTCAATATACCAGGTCATTATACAAAGTATTTTTCTATACTAAAAAGTAATTCTTCTGATTGTAAAGATTATTTTAATTCTTAAAATTGTCTTCGTTTGGGATTTATAATGACTTTTTAAGACTTCTGTGCTAGTGTATTTAATTTAGACTTTTTAAACTTTTAAAAGTCTTGAGGTATTCGTTTACAAAAAAAAAAAAAAAAAAAAAAAACCATATACGAAATCTCACTCCAAATCCCACATCCAAACAAGATTCCTATTAAATCTGAAAATCTTAAAAAGTCTCAAATCTCAAAAAGTCACGAATTGTCACTCAAAATCCCAAATGAATACATAGTACTTCCATTATCGATCAAACGAAATAAAGTCATTTTTGCTACACTTTCAAAACTTTTGAAGAATTACAATCACCCAAAATAAAACCATAAATAATTAAATCATAAATGAGTTACATACCAAAAAAATTGCAATTTAGTATCAATGACAAAACACAGATCAACAATTTATGAACAGTGAAAGTTAATATATTTGCAACAAAATGTCGTAAATGTACAAAAAAAAAATGCACTCTTGAAAACCATACAAATATGACACATTTTCTTCTTTATGTGACCAGTCAATCTTTATTAGGCAAGAGATATGGCCCAATAAGCTCGAGGATATCGCCTAGTTGAGGCGTTCCATATTTCATGGAAGCCCAAAGTGCTCAGGCCTACTTTTTATCCATTCTTAAAAAATCCATACTTATACTATTGTGAAGATCTCTATTTACCGCAGGCCTATCCTAAATCCGACTCGATATGAATCTAAGAAACTAATTAAAATAAGGGAGAGATATTCCTATCGAAAGTTGAAACCTGATAATCGGTCGAGTCTTTTTAGTGTTTGCAAACAATCCGTAATACAAACACAAGGGCATTATTTCTAAACAAAGGTGCACCTTAACAAAGCACAAACATGCCAAAAAACAGAAGTGAGTTTCCAATAAAAACCTTTTTGTCATCAGGATTGATAGACTTGAGGAAGCTGGAGACCCACACTAGAAGCAGATTTTCCGACTACTTTTTTCATCTCGTCAGATCTATCCACCGCGATATTGTACCAGAACAGCAACTCCTGTATCTCAAACCATTATGCAATATTTAGTCATCAGTGTACATGTAATTTTTTTATTTTTTTTTCTAAATTGGGACGTAGTACAATAAAAAAACTGGCCTAGACATTTGGCTTATTTTTCTTAAAAAAAAAATTTAAATCTAGAATCACAACAAGCCCTCAAGTTATTACCAGAGTTTGTCTCTTTTCGTAACAAAACACTATCACTCGTGCATTCATATAGTACAAACAAATATGAACTGGATAATTGATACTTTGGGTTTAGGTTGAGGATTATTTTAGTGGTTTAACGTTTTCATGTCTGATGTGATGTCTTAGTAAACCCATTATAATGAAGGAAGGTCTAAGTAAATAATCTTGAGAGATATTTCTTCCAGGAGAGAGCTCCCAAAATGTCAATTCACAATTGCTCCAATCTCAGCATTATTGCTCCTTGTCTAGAAAAAAGTGTGAATATTAAAGCTAAAGGCAACTATCAAAACTATAAAATCACAGTAGCTGCACAAAACCAAGCTCCGAATATGAATACTTTACGCTAAAAAATACAAATGATCTAAACAAGAGTTAATGTATCTAACTAGGCGATAAATAAGGGTAGCAATGGCTAGCATGACACGATACACAAACACAACACGATTTAAAAACGAAATTATAGAGTTAAATAACACGACGGACATGACATGGCACAACATGCAAAGCTCGAAATGAAAAGTAGTTAAATTTAGATTTAGTATCATACATATGATCAAATACAATCGATAACACAAAAACATGACAAAGAAATATGAACAGGACAAGATAGCACGATTTGTCAACCAAGCAATAAATGCAAGAAAGAAGTGTACTTTATCACAGGTAAAACGATAAATTCCCATGAGAGATGCACCTAAAACATGAATTTGCTTCACATACACATCAATTGAATCCATTCGTACAACATGTAACTAGTATGATAATAAACAAAAGAATCAAGAAATCAAAATACATAGAGGAACGTTAACAGGGACAAAACATCAAACACGTAGAATGCACGGAAAGAAGTTATCTGTACAGTGAATAAAAGGGAGTACCTTGTGATAATGAACACTGTTAAGATAGAAAGTGTAGTCGTGGGCGAGCTTCATATTTTTCGGGTTTTCAGAGTTAACGTCCCTTCTGAATTCTTGATTGATGAAATCTGTGAAACGGGCTTTGTGTTCCTGCTGCTTTCCAACGTGCGTCCTCACTGCCTTGATAAGGTTTCTGTAAATTCCCTTTGCTGTTGTGTTCGCACCCTGAAATGATGACCCCATTTATGACTTTTTTTCTTTCTGCAATTCTGTCTTCTTCTTCTTCTCCGAGTTTAAGCGACAGTTATATTTTTTTCCAACTTTTTGCATCTTCAGTGAACACTTGAGGAAGCAAACCAGAAATGAATAATGATGACTAAAACCGTCTAATCCATACCAATGGGCTATATTTGAGCAGGTCCACAATATGTGGGCTGACAAAAATACTGTTTTACTGGGTTGTAACATGAAATGATTTTGCCTATTTAGGCTCGGCCATGATTTTAAATTTGATCTACTATATTACGAATTAAAGACATCCCTTGCTCATTTTGAAAAACTGCTTAAATTGGGATTGTATAAAATTGCTTGATTTCTATATAGTTAACAAAGAAATTATGAAAATCTGGGTGAATAACTTAGTGTATATATTGATTGAATGTAGGGATGAGTAAAACTGATCCGAATTGAACGACGAAGCTGAATTTGATGCGGTTTAGTTTGGTTTTTGGTAGGTTCCGTTTCAATTCGATCTGTTGGAGTTTTTGAAGACAAATATTTTAACATCTTCAAAGAAAATATATGTGGAGTTTAACAAATGATAATCATAGAAAATAATCTCAAGTGACACATGTTAACATCATTTTCTTTTGTACATCCAGAGATGCATGGAGCAAGGTTAGAGCAAATAGATAATAAACAACAAAAAATGAATGAATTAGACTCCTACAGATGAAAAAATGGCAATAACAAAATAATAATTAAAAAAAAAAATGAAAAGATGAGCTACATCAGATATGATAATAATGTTGTTCTGAGCAGCCACCATTCTTCCTTGTTTTGTTATTTTTGCAACTCTTTTCCCCTATTATTTGATTGCCCCATCATTTAATAAGAAAGCTTCAACTGTTTCCCCACCAATTGCTGTACTTATTTCACTCCACAGCCATGCAAATTAACTGTAAAATTCATGAATACCAGTTTCACAATCAGGCTCAAAACAAAATAAATAACTGAAATTATTTTCTTTGATAAATAACAAACAGAATTAAAATACAAAAAAGTGTGCATGGAATGTGAAAACCCTAGAACATATGTTTTATTTTATTTAACTATTTATTAATCTTTCAATTTGGATATAATCTATAATTAATCTAGTTACTTTTAGCTGTTACATCTGATGATCCTATGAGCTAAATTTCACATGGTCATGTCCGAATCTTGCTTTGGACCATGTGATTCAAAGATTCTTCTCTGTTTATTTAATATCCTTCAACATAAAAATAATAATAAAATAAAGGAGCCAACGAGCATGCTATATTGCTAATTTGCTATTAGTTGATCTATTCACCTTAACTTTATGCATGTATTAGAGATTCGTGAAAATTGGATAAGGTCTTTATTTTAATTTATTTATTTAAACAAGGCACAAAAGTATGAATTAACCTCTAACTAATTTATTTACTTAGACAGATTTTTTTATTTCGAAATTTTCAATATTAATGATGCTAAATAAGCTAATTGGCTATACATGTTATACCTGCATTAGGGCGTGCAATGGATGTGGGCTTAGATATAAAGACGGGGACTGTTTGGGGAATTGGGCCAGCTGTTGGTGAGTACATGTGGGCCGGATGGCCCATTGCCTGTGATTGGGGGAAATGGTACAGAGGGTACATTGGCATCAGTGAATTGGGACCCACCATAGCCTGCCCTGGGTACAATTGACCAAAATGCCCATTCATGTAGGACCCACCAGTGAAGCCCAGCTTCTGCATAGTGGACACCAACTTAAGTTAATTAATGTTGTGTAAAAGGAAAATATTAGCACTGATTACTACATTTATGGTATAAAAAACATTTTTAATAATTTTAACATTATTATTTTATTAAAAGACTTTATATTTTAATCAACTTTTTTATGCCAAAATAGCATTTTTCGCGATAGAATTGCTATAAGGAGTCATGCTATATTACTAGATTAATTTATAGATTGAGTTGTTAGAAATACATTACTTTTCTCATTATAAATTTATAATACTAAAAAATTTAAAAATTCAAATATTGCCAACACAAAATTCAATAAATCTGTTAGTCAATCAATTTGGTAAATGTGAGTACATAGAATATGAATTGTTTATTTTGGTAATATTATAATAAAAATAGTAATGAATATTTTTGTCATGTGTATTTTTGTTAATTCAATTTGTGAATCAATCTGATAAATGTTTATTATATGTACTTTCAAAATATCAATTTATAAATCAATCTCATAGTGTAATATTGTTCTTCTAAAGAAGATGATTTTCCAGCAAAATAAAAAATAAATCATTTTCAAGAAAAGCCCTTTAAAGATCTCATAAAAGTGACAACTAGAGAGATCTCCATCATTCATAATCAACAAATTACACCATTCATGGAAAAATCTTGCTGGCCATTTACATTCAACCACCTCCAATTAATTACATATTTAATTAGGATTAATTACATGTTATTTATATCTAGTCACTAGTCTATTACTTAATCTCACATAGAATGAATCACATCATTACCAAACTATTTATTGCCAAATTCAAATCAGACATCCGATCGGATTTATGCACACATTTGTACTTAGAAAATATAAATATTGTGACAATATCATATTATCAAGAAATCGTAATAATCCAAATTTACAAAAATTAATTAATTTATACTCACATGATTGTAATTTATGTCGGTGGCTGCAAAGTAGGCCGGAGAGTATCCATAAAAGGGGACCACTTGATGGCCATGGCCGCCGTGGTGAAACGGTATACCGGCAGCGGAAACGGCCGGCGTCCCTGCCGGAAAATACCACGGCACGTGATTCTGCGCCGGCGGCGGTGCACATGCTCCACCCCTCGGTCCAACATTCACTCCTTCATAAAGTCAAGATTTAAAATAAATATTGACGAAATTGTTATATTTTTCACTAAACCGCGTATTATAATTTATACATTGCGAAATAAATAAATAGCCAAAAATTGAAAATAATGCAATTAATTAATCAATTTTATAATGTACCTTGGTGGACAGGTGGCGGCGGCGGCACGGCGGGGCGGCGGGCCCCTAGGGCGGCGAGGTTGCAATTGGCACGGCGGCCGTTGATGACCGGCGTGGGGTCCGCGCACGCCTTCTTGGCCGAGTCCACGTTCTTAAAAGTGACCTGAGAAACGGACACGTCATCGAAATCAAATCAAATAAAACAAATGAATAAATAGAAATCGAAATTGAATTTAATTGACAAGATTAAAGCTTACGAATCCGTAGCCCTTGGATCGGCCGGTGTGCTTGTCGGAGATGACGACGGCCTCGAGAATCTCGCCGTACTTTTCAAAGTGGTCTCTAATGGCCTCCTTGGGAGTCTCCCAAGCCAAACCTCCGACGAACACTTTGGTCAAAGATGTGTCGTGGCCGCCATTGTTGCTGCTCATCATCATAGTCATTTTTTTTTTTAATTCTTGATGAATTTTATCAATCAAACCAAGTTATTTTGTATGTGTATATATATATGAGCTTGATGAATAATAAATTGTATATTGTGTGTGTGTTGTGTGTTGAGGGTGGTCAAATATGGTTTTTGGAGGAGGAGAAGACAAGATTATATATATATCTATATGTATAAATAATATAAAAACTTGTAGATTGTATAATATAATGTTGTATTATCATATTATGTATGTTGTGTAAAATTGTAAATATAGGGGTGACTAATAAAGGACAGTAAAGCAGACAGGTGGATTTTGGATTGAGCCAACAAAGTTCTCTCTCATGTTAAGCAATATATATATAGGGTAAGGTAGTCTAACGATTAGACAAGCTCATTTAGTATATTGTAAAATGTCATACGATTTAATATAGATTGTTGTCCAACTGTTAGGTTTAACCTTTATCACCAGAACGTATCCATTGTACACTCTTTATGTATTGCTGGATTTTGGCTCCTTTGAATTCATCACATAACTGTCTTTATGTATTGTAATTTGGTAATTATCCTTATACTCTATATTATAATTGCAATCTGCTATGAAAATTTGAATTCAATCTATGTATGGTTAAAAGTATAGCTTCAATTGGTAATTATATTTTGAGTTTAACCGTGTTTGGAATGCTAATTTCAACATATCACATCGTGTGGTGAACATATTAATTCGTGACTACAAAATATCTAAAAGAACAATATTATATATATACATTATCATATATATATATATATATATAATATATATATGTGTGTGTGTATGTGTGTGTATAGGATGTGGTTCAAATGAGAATCAAGTCCTAGCGTGAGAACCGCGAGAACCACCATTTTTAATTGTATATAGTGCTATGATGGATTATGTTTTAGTACTATTTTTTACTAGGATGTATTTGATTAAAAATAATAATAAAATTTTTATTAGCATTTGTGGAAATGATAGCACCATACAATATTAAAAATAGCATCATAGACAATTAAAAATTGCATCAAATTATGATTCTCACGGTTCTCACATCAGACCTAATTTTTATTTGAACCATCCCTATGTATATATATCATTTATTTTATGTTATACGTGCAGTGTGCAATGTGTGCTTTTTTCGTCATTTTCTTTTTGATCTTTTGAGAAATGAGCTTAGTATTTATTCATAAACACTTCCATGCGAATGCAAAAAAGGTTATGAATAAATCTCTTATATAACAAAACTGATCGATGAGTAACTTTGTAAAATATATATTCCTTATAAAAATTTGAGATTTTTTGTCTAGCAACTGATCTATGAATTAAAAAACAAAAATGTACAAATTCTTTAAATAATAGTTCAATATACAGTACAGCACATCAAGTTGTGAACTTGTGTTGTGCACGAACGATGTCGTTTTTGCACTATTTCTTATGTCGGTCTTCGATTGTGAGTCTGCGACATGTCATATAGGTGTGTGATATATAATATAACTACATACGGATCCCATTTTACTTCTGCTATTTCTTCTTATAATGTGTGAAAATGATATAAATAGACACAAAAACAATTATATACATAACAAACTCAATTCAGTTCCTCGTACTAACCGAAAATAGACCAATAGATAAAATTGAAGACTTCAAAAACATTGGAATCAATAAAGATTCTGTTTTTTCAAGTTTCGGAAGTTTGGTATTAATAACAAATAATATATATATATATATATATATATATTAAAAGATAGAAATAAACTATAATTATAATATATTTTTTCGAGTGAAATGAATACAATACAAATATAACCTATAATTTAGTGGGTGGTGGGTAAGTTTGCATGACAATTGTAACGGTGTTCTGTATTATTCATATTCATTGAGATATATTAATATAATATGAACATCAATTAGTCTGACAGAAAAATAACATGTAAAATTTTAAAATTGGTGAGCAATTTCATATACGCATATGTTATAGGACATAAATGTTAAAGATTATAATGTTCGATAAAGTAATTATGCGCTGGCAACTGAACTGGCTGAACAATCTAATCAAATTTATTCCAAGCTAAAAAAGGAAAAAAATAATAATAAACGAAAAATTAAACACATTAATAAGTTTTAATATGATCCGGGGAATGTAGGTGCTAATGGGCACGTGAGAATGATGAAGTGCACAGAACATTATGCTCCATGCCTTGTGGCCTCTTTATCCCCTAGAAAATGTAACGTGGCCAGCTGTATGCCAAAACTGGGGGTGTTTTAGGCAATCCAAAATCTGTGTTTTACCATTGACCAAAAACTAGACTAAATAAATAAAACTAAAAAAAAAAACTGAAAATTTAAATAAAATAAAATTTAAATCTGACTCCAAAATTCCAAATTAGTGGCCGGGGAAGGGCTCATATAGATGCAGGTCATCGTGGTGCTAGCTGGAAACCTGCATGCTTTGAGCTGGCAAAGGTGGAGTGGAGGTTATTTACGTAATTCACCTATGTCTTTTATTAGTATTATTGTTATTATTATTATTATTATTTTCCATCAAGCATGAATATATTAAAATCTAAATTTTGCCAGTCAAAAACTCTTTAGTTTTGTTGCAATAAAAACTGCATGCAGACATGTTTAGCTTTGTGGGGTTAGAGGTGGCAGCTCGTGCGGCCAAGAAATGATGGTGGCGACGTGAGGGGATGTGAGCCCTTAGAAGCCTTTTAAGCAGAATAATTCAAAAGTGAAAGTAACAATAATATTAATAAATAAATAAAATAAAAGTAAAAATTCCCATTATCACAACTGTACACGGCTTCGAGATTGAGTAATTAATCCAATTGTGAAGCCCCAGTTTATGTTATTATGGATTTGTACCTGTCAATTCAACCATCTCATGCCAACTGTCAGGAGACTATTGTTAAACGATACACGCCGAGCTAATTTCAAACTATCTATACACAATGGTTGAATCAAATCGAATACCTTTATATGGAATAATTGTGAAAAAATCTTTTTTATGTCGGTGTTCAAGCATGACAAAAAAAAGTAAGCGTGCTCGAGATCAACTACAAGCTCAACACTGCTCGAGCTTGGCTCAATTATGAATTGGTTTTCAACACTGAATACGATTGGGAGTACTACAATATATATATACATATATATATGGATATTTAGATAAATAGACATGTTTGAGATGCTCGTTGAGCACTCAAACTTGCAAAAGGTGGCTCTGAGTAGCTCGAGTTTGGCAGAAGTCGAGTCAATCTTTGACTCGTGTGCTAACGAGCAGCTCGGTTGAAGCCCCAAACTCATTGCTCTCTGTTGTTCATTCTACTTGTAACAAAAATTAGTTGTAAAACAAGATTACAGAGCCTTGAAGCTGTATACCTATATCTAATGAAGTTTGCAAATGGTAACCTGGCAAAACGATTGGCCAAAAAATCAATCAAGGAGCAAAACCTAGAGATGATAATATAATTTTAGTAGAATTTACAAAGGACTCCAGGCAAATTAAAAAAAATCACATCATTATACTTCATTTCTATAGAAAGTACCTAAAAGATCCAAATGAACAGCCGTTTTTCAGTCTTCTTGCTAACATGACTCAAATAGAAAATCTCGAGCATGGGCTCTCAGGTAATAGACCCCATCATCTTATCAGAGTTGATATTTTCCTAGTCAGAATATTGGCTATCCTGGTGCAGCAGCTAAAAAGTAAACTTCTGGATATGTCGAGAATCTCCAATATAGACAAACACAGCATGACCTAGCACATTTCTATGAAAAACTCTAATTAACAAACATGTAAATAAAAACGGAAAAAGGAAAATGAGAATAGGATGAAATCAAAAATGAAAGTGTTGAAACAGAGAGTAAAGATTGAGTGGTATATTGCAATAACAAACTATACGTGCAATGCAAAACATAGTTGCATGACGAAAAAGAGACATCCATGGTTTTATATTTATGTTCTTGTTTCATTCTACTTGGATTGGTAGAAGGAGACTGAGAGAAAACTTACTCAGTATTCAATCTGGGGGTTCGAGAAGCTGAAACCTTGTGAAAATGAAGCTTGATGAGCAAACTGCTAAAGTCATGCCAAAGGGAGAAAATAAGGGAACATATATATAATAGTTTCGAGTGATGTTGCTACATATTCCAAAATGAAACAGCAAGAATATGAAANGAAAAAAAAAAAAAAAAAAAAGCTTTACTTGTGCATCAGAACCCAGCTGAGTCCCATTTGTATCATTCTTTGAAGATCCATCAGCACTCCTCGAAGGGACCTTGGTTTCACCCTGTTGATAGGTTGGAAATACTACTTAATAAATCAAACATTGGGGACATTCCTCTGAAAAGATTCAAAATGCATATTTTCATACCTCTAACTGAAAACATTGGGGACATTCCATAAAATCAGCAGGATCCCAGAGAGGGTAAAAAAAAAGGTGAGGATCAGATAAACCATAGAGATAGCAGATGAAAAATAATTAAAAAGCTTCTTCACAGAGTTTCCTTTTTTTTTTCAAATAAAGAAAAGGTGAGAAAATTCAACGAAAGACAACAGAATTTCAGACTTCAGATACCTCTCTGTATCTGGCCAAATAGACTTTCAGCGGGGCTATATAATCTTCAAAACCTAAGGTAGCCATTGCCCACAACAAATCATCCCCATTAATTGTCTTCCTTCTCTCTTTTAGGCACCTATCGCTTGCTCTTTTTAGGAAACACAAAGTAAAATGAGAAGCGAAGCATAAAACAATATGAATCTCATAACAGCCAGTTAACCTAAAAAATGAATCCAGTATACCTACATGTATGTGTACATGCAGATTGTTCGCCCTCTTTGAGAAAACTGAAGCATTTAATAAATAATACACAGGAGATACGTAATAAAAACATTTCACAGATGGAAATAGTAGTCAGTCTTCTCTTAAGACTAAGAACCAGTACGAGCATCTTTTGCTACTGGGAAAAAAAATAAAAAATTATAATTGGTGAGGGAAAAACAACTTCCCTGCTGTATAAAATTTTTTCAAGGAACAGTGTTATTACGAGCTACTAACTAACAAACACATAACACGCTTTACATAAATAGCACTAGTATTAAAATAAGTAGTGATTTACCCACACAAAATGCTTAAAAATAGAAGCACGACTACTCTTGCCAGTCAATACATCCGACTTATCATGTAATGTAAGTAAACTGTTACTACATATGCACGTTGCATAGGATAACAATTCAAATAATCAGAAATCCATATGTAAAAAATGAAAAGAGCGCACCACATATACAGTATAAAAACAGAATAATTAGTGTTTCCATATGAACTATTGCGACCTTCACATAGCCATTGAACTGTTATCCTCAAGACAGACATCAAAAAAAGAGTTATTATAGGTTAATTCTGACACTTATTGATTCAAAAGTGTTCCATTGAACTGTTACTAAAATCAGCATGCCGCCGAGTGTTAATCATAGAACACCAATAATAAAAACATCCAAATGCATGAATGATGAACCTCTCCCCCTCTCTCAGGAGTGAAAACAGAAGCTTTCATTTGACAGTGCAAAAGTGAAGCAGAAGTTTCACTCATATACCACTTCAATTATCATAAATTAATATTAAATGGCAGCATCCATTACACTTTGAGCACTAGAGTTAGACAACAAACCAAACCCCAATTGCATATCTATAGAATCCGCCAAACTCTTAGATAGTATGATACGAAACGGGCTCCTAGAATTATACACAAAACCAAATCACACCTGAAATAGATAAATTCTGGACCTGGTGCACTTGCACACGCAAATTGAGTTTTATTTCTAGGAGTCAACAAATTGTGCCAACCAAAATAACAAGACCACCTAAAAGGCTAGCTATGAGTAAGCACACGGGCTCAACCAAAACTCAAATCCAATCATGTACACTAATCACATTCAAAGAAATTTCAAACACAAATCCAACTGCCAATAGAAAGAGCAACCAAAGCTATTAAAGCACGTACTCGCTGGTGATGAAGCTGATAAACTCCGATACACATTCCTGAACGGTGTCCTTGGCGTCCTTGGAAATCTTCCCGTTGGCGGGCAGAGCCTTCTTCATGATGCGGCCAATATTTGCAATCGGGAGGAAGCGATCCTGCTCGCGCACGCTCGACGGTGGGCTCCGGTCACCGCCGGTCTCGTAACTCCCGCCAGGACTGTCGGCCATCCCGAAACCCTAGACCCAATTTACACACAAAATATCATTCAAAGGGGTCGCGAATGAGAGTATTTCATATAGAAGAGCGTGGGGAGTGTGTGTTTCTGTACCTTCGAGGCAGGATTGAAGAGGAAAAAGTAAGATTTGTATTTGGCGCGCTGTAGAAACTAGAAAGAGAGCACGTAGGGAAAGGAGATTGGGCGATGGGATTGGAGATATCTGAAAGATCGGACGATGGAGATATGAGGAAGGAGACTCGTTTTATAGACGCTGATTTTTTTTTTTATTTAAATGATATAGTAAAAAATAAAAAACGAAAAATTAGGTTTAATAATATGAAGTCGATGTGAATTTTGCACAAAACATTTGAAATTATAGAAAAAATCCTTTTTTTTTTTTTCTTTTTTTCTCTGAAACGTCCACATTTTATTAGCATTAAACAAAAAGGTACACCCCACTTCCACTAACCATCTCACTGGGTTTACATCTTACCAGGAGATAAACAAAAAGGCCCGCACAGAGCCACAGTAAAACAGCAAAAACTAGAGAAACCAACTACAACAGCAACCTTATATACAAACTAACACCTGAAACAAAAGTCAAGACCTAATAATACAAACACCAACAGCAAGCTATAGAAGAAAACAAAAAAGACCACATCTAACAAAACATGAAGATGAACACCACTGAAAGCCAAAATAGCTCTCCTAGCTAATCATCCTCAACAACCCGCCACACGTACCAACTAATACTACTCAGCAACAGAAAGAACATCTAGCTCCTGCCAATCTCTCACAGCATTTGCCAACACCGCTACCTCAGACACCCAAGACTTTTCAAACACCCATAAATTCCGCGATTTCCACAGCCACCAAAGAATATACACGGAAAGCTGAATTCTATCTTGAAATATTTCTTTTACTTTCCCTGAAGACACCATAAACCACCAGTCTGCAAATTTACCTGATTCCACCAGATTTTCCTCCCATTTAACAGGTGACATCTTCCATACTAGTTTGGCTCTCTCACATAAAAAGAAAAGATGCTCCAACGTTTGTTGAGTCTGACCGCACATTTGACAGGTTGCTTCTTTTTTTAGCCTCCTTCGGAAAAGATTATCCTCCGTCGGTAGTATATTCTTTAGACTTTTCCACAAAAAATGTTTCAGCTTCTGTCTGATCTTCAGCCCCCATAGAACCTTCCACATCTTCTTGTTGTTACTCAACCCCATACTGCTCTCAGGAGTGTCCTTGTCACACTTGTACTGCTTCTGAATTTCCTTGTAAGCCGACTTCACTGAAAAAGTTCCATCAGAGGTAAAATGCCAGATAAAGGAATCCTCTTTTCTTGAATTCTTCAGAGGGATTTTCACAATGGCTTCTGCTTCCTCCCTGTTAAACAGTCTGAAAATTAAATCCCTATTCCACCTCCTGCCCCCCTCTTCCATTAACTGGCTAACCCAAACTATATTAGGATCCCAGTTATTCCCCCCAACCACCCTAAATTTAGGAAGAGAAGGAACCCAAGGAGCATTAAGAATTTTAGTATTTCTGCCATTACCAATTTGCACTCTCAGACCCCTGAGAAAGAACCTATGAACTTTTAGCCACACACTCCAAAGCCATGACTGATTGCTTTCAGCTTTTAAATTATCCCAAGATCCCTCCCCTACATATTTAACTCTCATAATTCGACTCATTAGAGTTTCAGGTTCTACAAAAGTTCTCCACCATTGCTTCACTATCAAAGCATCATTAGCAGCTTGAAGATTTCTAAACCCCAAACCCCCTAACATTTTAGGAGCTGACAAGGAATCCCAGTTACACCAATGGATTTTATCCCCTCCAAAAGCACTAACTCCCCACCAGAAACGAGCCACTAACTTATCCACCTCCCTCAGCACCCCCTTAGAAAGTTTAAAACAAGACATAACATAATTAGGAAGGGCATTCAACACCGAAGAGATTAATACCTCCTTCCCAGCTGGACTCAAAAATTGATTTTTCCAGTTAAAAATTCTGTTTTCTACCCTTTCCACCACAAACTTGAAAATCTCCTTCTTATTTCTCTCCACCACCATAGGTAGCCCAAGGTAACTGGAATTATTATGAATTTTTAGGTTACCTAAAATAAAACATATGGCCTCTTGAACAAGAACATGAGTATTTTTACTAAAAAAACACGAGGATTTGTCAAAATCCACTATTCAATCGAATTGCAAAAATTTTGCCCAAATAAGATTTAGGAGGTATTATTTTTTCCAGTTAATTAGTTGATATTTATTTGACATATTTTTCTGAAGTTTTACTAATTGGTTAATATTTTCAAAAATCACAAAATTATTGGATAAATTGGCATCTGCCCCAAGTTGGGTACGCCTGAAAATGACACTCCAAGTTTAAATATAGGAGAATTCCTAACCCCGTTGAACCACATGATCATTAGGAAATTCAACAAGATAACTTATGGAATGACCTAGAGCAACCCTTGATCGATGAAGGGGAACAACAAACCGAACCAAGTTATCGAACAAACTGGCTAGCCAACTTTCTTTCTGTGAACATACTAACTGCGGTTTTCTTCGCTTCGAGCGCGAGTTGGAGAAACAAGTAGAGTTTGAAATTTCACTCTAAAGACAAATTTGCTCGGAAAGTTATACACCAGCCACTCTAAATAGAACACAAGAGTAAATCCGTAGCTTACTGCTTTTTTTTACTAGAAAAAAAAAAAGAAAAAAAATTCAGTTTGTGCTGATGGTAAACTAAGGGGAGAACCTTGCTGCTTACTTTAAGTATCCCCGCCAAGAACTTATTTCACTTTGTTTATATAAAGGTCGGATTTGGTATTTTGATATCTATTGCATAAAAATGATCTGGTCAATCATTCATGATTGATTATGCAACTCGAAAAATTGAAACTTTTGGTTTGTTAGGGGTAACCCCATCAATCCATATCTCATAGGAAGGATAGTGGACTTAGTCCCATGCCTGACACTACCTTTAAAAAAAATGGTATGTGAATACTAAGCATTATGTGAGAAACCTTTCACATACACTTATTTATATAAACGGTATGTGAAGAACCTTTCACATAACGCTTTTCTATATTAAGCATTATATATAATATTAATCAGACAACATTTTTTAACAGAAGTGCAATCTGAGTTGATGATAATATATAGCACTTTTTTTAACAAATAAAAAATGAGATTTTATTAGAAAATTTTCTTTATTATTTTTTTTTAGAATTAATCCGTTATTCATATTCTAATAAAGGACAACTAAAAAAGAGATTTTTATCACCGTTGAACCATTATTTAAAAAAAAAAATAAGTGACCAGTGTATACTATCAATTTAAATTGAAATTAAGAAACTCAATTTTTCAATTTTGGGTACTTGAGTGCCCATATATAGATAATGGACTCGATTCTATAATAATCTCATTCAAGTTCGTTGCATGTACGTTTGGGTTCAAAAGTTTAAATTACGTGCACCTAACTAATAAGATCTATATGATATAACAGCATGCATTTTATTTTGGTTCTTCGAATTGAAATTTAAGATAAAATTAGATGTTACAAATTACAATATGAACGACATTTGTATTGAATACACCCAATTCATCCACTGTTAATTTCTAATCTAGGTTTTAATTTCCAAAAGAAAGACACATTTAGAAAACAAGATACAAGCAAATCGACAATAAGCAACTATTTTAGAGTTACATGTCTTTCATTAAATACAATCGAACGAGAAGAGTGAAAGGGGATATCAATAAACATGAATAATCTTTCCCAATATAAAGTTGTATAGTTTTCCGAATCTAATTATATATCAATAAATAATTGTACAACAAAAATGCATATTATGAATATTTTATTTTTTATTATTTTTAATATTATATATATTTAGCAATTGTTTTCAACCAGATGGATTCACCAAAAAGTAAAGTTTACAAATTTTTTTTAGCTAAAAGTTTTATTCAATACAATTATATTATATCTCTAATTCATACTATAATTTTAGACTCATTGATAATTCTAATTTATTCATAGAGTATGAAATACAGAAAATAGAAAGAAAGGTAAGGTAGTGTAGTATGTCATTCATTTATGCAGATTCTATGAAGTCTGAGTGTTAAACTATTTGTTATTTTGTAATTTTATTTTATGGGTCCATTTATGGTCATTTCTTAATATTATGTGTCAGATTAATAATTTTTGCACTTTGAATTTTTATCTATATTTATTGGGAATTTTAAAACATGGTCAATTTAAATAATAAATATATTTTAAAAAATTTATAACTTTTAAGTTTGTTATTACTTTTATTTTTATAAATAATGTATCAAATTAAACAATTTTTCTAATATTTACGACTAGATATTGCGCAAAATTAAATTATATATACACATATATTAAATTATAGTACACATATATTATATACATTCATACATACAAATTAAATTACATAACATATAATCAAGTCTAACTGCAAAATAATATAAATAAGTTTATTTTCCAATCTTTGAGTTAGACAAAACTCTGACAATATTAGGATTTAGGACGAGTGAGTTTTATTCATGATGATTTCTATTTTAAATAACAAGCTTTTAAAAAAAAATTAAAAGCTTGAATTTAAAAAAAATTAAGTGTAAACTTTTCTAAAAAAGACACAGCAATTTATTTAGATTTACTAATTAATCTCATAATCTTATGCTAATAAATATGAATTTCCAAAAAAATAAAAATCAAATTTTCAGAATGACTTTTGAAATCACAATCCTCGACCTGAAATGGAAAACCTTCATCACCATAAACCGACGCACAGATTGCAAAAGGTGCGTCCCTCGGCCGTCTAAAAGTCACCATTTTCACAGATACATACATATACATACACTCAGTTTATTTTCACACACATTCCCGTGCATGTATCAGCATTTATAACAAACCCCAAAAAAAAACTTAAAATAAAAATAAAAATGGACGCCGACTCTTCAAGAACCGCCGCCGCCCAGTCCCTCTTCCCGATGCAGACCCGGCCGCCTCAGGTCTCCGACGAGGCCTTCAACCTCTTCCACTCCATCGACCGGGAGCTCTTCGCCCGCCTGACCCACCCACTCGCCCGCGACCCGGCCGAGTCGGTCCGAGTCGCCGCCTTCTTCATCTGGCTGGAGCGTGAGTCCCACGACACCTCCCTCGTCAGCCGCCTCCTTTCCCTCCCTCCCGCCATCCTCAACGCCGCCGCTGCCGAGGCCGCCCTCTGCCTCCGTTGCGCCGAGTCCGACTCCTTCCCCCCCGCCGCCGCCGGAAACGTCACCCTGCTGCCGGAAATTCTCTCCGGCGGCGGGATCAGCCTCCGGCTGATCCAAGAGAACCGGGCCGCCGTCCTACGGGCCGTCGCCAAGATCGTCAGCACCGTATGCCTCCGGGCTTTCGCCGACATTCTCCCGCCGCCGCCACCGGCGGCAGCGGCGGCGGCGGCGGTTTTGTATCGTCCCCACCCGAACATGCCGTTGATGGGTGGCGGGCTGCTCCCAGTGTCTCCGCCGCCGCCGCCTGCCGGTGTTTTTCCGGCGCCGGGGGATATCATGGGGTTGCCGCTTCACATGATGGGGAATTTTCCGGCGCACGATTTTCTTGGTAGGAATGTGGCCGTAAATTATAATAACGGTAACGATGAGTCGGAGGAGAATGGCGGTGATGGAGGTGGCGAGAGTCAGTTTGAGGTTGCCGCGGACGAAAGGACGATCTTCTTGACGTTCTCCAAAGGGTACCCCATAAGTGAGGATGAAGTTAAAGAATATTTCACTAGGTAACTAACCAAACCAATTCATTTTCGTATCAACAAATTTCTAATAAGACGGTCTTACCATTAGACGGACCAATTCATTTTCGTACCAACAAATTTCTAATAAGACGGTCTTACCATTAGACGGAACGATTTTATGTTGAAAATGTATTGTTATCTAACTGATAGCTTATCTATCACTAGATTTACTGTTTTGTGTTATTTCAATTTTAATTTATGGAGTAATTTAGATAAATGAAGTTAGAGAATATTTCACCAGGTAAATTAACCAAACCTATTTATTTTTCTCCAAAACAATCCTATGTTCATAAATTCTTGTACGAAACGGTCTTTATTGTTATAGGTAGATCGATTATGTGTTTAAAACATTTATATATGTCTGTTGAAAACGTATGATTGTATAACTGTAATTTATGTATGTTATTTTCAACTTTAACTGAGTAATTTAGGTAAATAATAATGCCTTATTTAAATTTTCTTTGTTCCCTTATTTCTATTCACTTGCTTTGTTATAAAGGATGTTTGGTGATTTCATAGAGGACTTGATAATGCAAGAGGTATGTGAAGATGAGCAAGTTCTATATGCGAGGATGGTGGCAAGATCGACGGCCGTGATCGATGGAATCGTAGGAGGGAACAAGGCTAAGTATGTGATAAACGGGAAGCACGTGTGGGCCCGGAAGTACGTCAAGAAGCACCACCATCAAGCGAGGTGGCCGCCGGCCAGAGGTGGCGACGACCACCCTTCTTCTTCTTCTTCTCCATCTTCATCCACCGTGCTCGATGGATAATTTTTAAATAGCTTTATATCAAAACAATATATTTATAAGTCTTGATGATTTTAGAAAAAATTTTCTAGTGCTACTTATAGAGGAGATAATACTACAACTACATGCATGATAAAAGCTAGTTGTTGAGCTGTTTAATTAACATTGTTTGTGTGTTTTGATGTTGTGTTGTTTAAACATTGTTGTGGAGTTTTGATTGTTTTGCTTTAGCATGAATGAACTATAGTTTGAAAGGACTGATTTATATACTTTCTTTTCTATTATTATCTTAAAAATAAATTGAGTATACAGTAAAATCTCTATATATTAATAATGTTGGGATCGGAGGATTTTATTAATTTATAGAGATATTATTATATCGATAAATTAATAATTTATTATTTTAAAGAAGTTTAACATATATACACAGTTGACCTTCAAAGTTCCAAATTATTTGAATAACTTTAAGTATACGTGCTTATTTTTTGATGAAAATTAAGTTAAAATACAAATGTACTAGTAGAATTCTCTGAACACAAACTCACGTGGAAATTGAAATGGCTTGTTTAAATTAATTGATTTTGGAAAATATAAAAATATGAGATTAACATAGATTTGAAGTTCGAGAAAAAGCAAGTTACAATAAATTCTTATTTTACTAAGTTGTTTTAAGAATCTTCAAGTGGATTATTTTTAATAATTATTAATTTATAGTTTCATTGGGACCAATATATATACATTGGGATCTCAAAAAATTATTATCTTATAATTTTATTGATTGGGTCTCAAATTTTTACTGGTCCCAACTTGGGACCAGACAAATTATTAATTTTAGCGAGGTTACTAATTTATTGAGTATTAATTTAACAAGGTTTTACTATATATATACTTGTTTGATGGATAGTAGCTAGCTTTCTTAATATGTGTATAGTATATTTCGAGCAATCATGTTCATGTGTTTCGTTTTGAATTTCAATTCTATAATAATAATAATAATAATAATAATAATAATAATAAAACATTGTCTTCTCCGAAAATAGAAATTAAAATTGGAAAATATTGTTTTTAGTACATCAGTATATATATTTGAAGTAATCATGTTCGAGTGATTCGTTTTGAATTTCATCAATTCAATTCTATATATGTATAAAAAAAAATAAAAAATCTTCTCCTATAATAGAAATTAAAATTGGAAAATATTTTTTTGAAAATATGTTTTTTCCTAAATCAGTATATTTCAAGTAATTATGTTCGAGTGATTCGTTTTGAATTTCAATTCTATAACAAAAAATAAAAATAAAAACGTCTTCTCCAAAAGTAAAAATAAAATTGGAAAATATTAACCTTAAATTGTGATATTTTTAGATTGTGAATAGATATAATTCAAAAATGCAATGGTTATGATTGGAATTTATGGAATAACAAAATATTAATTAATAGTGTTTATAAAAGTGGATGAATAATATTTTATATTAAAAATATATAATAAAAATTTATTCTAATTTTTTAGTTGTGTTAACGTGAGATATATTTTGTGATTTTTAAACTCACAACAGATAAATGTTAACTAATGGGACAATTTTTTTTTTTTTTCTAAAAAGAAAAACTTTGTATCCAATTGTCAACATAAACGTAAGTATTTTTTAAATTTTACACATAATTTTTATTTGGTCAAAGACCATTTTAATAAATACCAGATTTAGATTATGTGATTATGTAAATTGTTGAGTATTCAATATTGGATCACCGAAATAGCTCTCATACTCAGATCCCTACGATTTATATGACTTGATATTTTCTCCTCTGAATAAAGAAAAAAGCAAACAAACAAAGACATTCTTTTATAAGATTGGCAAAACTTTAATATAAGAATATCAATTCGAATTTCACCAATTTACATATTATATTTTTTCTCTTTCAGACAAAAGCCTCTCTAAATTTTCCAATTACGATAATGTACATGCATTTACAGTAACAACAATCTTAACTATTGGGCTACGATAATCTTAACTAGAAAATAGTCTTAGATAGCAAAATTTTGTAAATACAGTATGCTTTTCATAAAAAAACAATATTAATATTTTCGTAGTCTTAGATAAATTTATGCAAATTTTGCCTTTGGACTTTTGCAGATTATATCATAACCTTTCTTTCTTTGCATTTATAGACGAATAAATATGTAAATTCTCAAAAGTTGTGATATTAGATGTAATTTTGTCTAAATTAAATAATTTAATTTGTAGGCGTGTGTGTATGTATTAGATAATTTCAGTATGCACCAATAATTGGCAAATAGTTGACAAACTAATAACAAGTCCACCATATGACAGTTTTGCTATGGAGCCATCGGATGGCTTGGCTTATAAAGTCATCCACACTTATTTATCAATAGTGTATTGACACGTGTCCTGCAATAAATACACTTTAGACAGGTGTCAATACATTAAGTGGTGGATGGCTCTATAAGAAAACCATTCGATGGCTCCATAGAATTTTTGCACCTCAGTTTTGTTATGGAGCCATCAGATGGCTCGACATAGTTATCCACACTTATTCACCAATAGTGTATTGACATGTGTCCTGCAATAAATACACTTTGGACAGATGTCAATACATTAAATTGTGGATGACTCCATAAGAAAACCATCTGATGGCTCCATATAATTTTTACACCTCATGATTAACTTGAAAACATATATATCATTAGAAACTAGTACGGTATATTTTTTAAAAATACTATTAGTAATTAGTATTGTCTTTCCTCGAACATTGATGTTGGTACAAGATGTGGTAGTATGAAACTACACATATTAAATACTTTTTAAGAATCATCTCCATTTCTAAATTTCGAGATCTTTATACTATTACAAAAATTTACTTTAATATTTATTTTTCAAGAAATGCACCCTTTGATAAATCTCATGAAACACAGTAAGTTAAACTAGTAAATAGTGCAAGGAACATTTCCTTCATGTGTATTTTTCCAATTTCTCATGATTTCAAGTGATTCTACACTTACACAATGCTTCAAAAGCTAAAGAGCATAAAATTTCTGCAAATCAAACATCAAAATGAGCTTCATTCTTACAACATCCATGCAGCTTTATTGTCCGAAACAAATCCAAACGATTTTTGACAAAATTATTGAGAAAGCATTTTCATCTGGAACGTACAGAGAGGTGTTCGGGTCATTCTCCCGCAAACACTTTTCTACACCATACAAGAACACGGTGAACCAAACATAAACCGAGAATCTTAACATAAATGGTCCGTACACAAATAGAATTTTTCAAAGGGGGCATGCTTTCTCGAACTCCTGTTGCTCTTTGCGGCAAAGATCGAATTCGTTGGTGTTGTAATACATGCACCCGGAGTACGAGTCGAGCTCTTTGTTGCACACTTGGTGTAGATCTCTCAACCTATACAAAACCAAAAACACCAGCAAGTATAAATTGCAATTTATCAGGGAGAAAAAAGGAAGATAAATGAAAAGGAAGGTGGATAGAGTATTTGCAATTTTGAAAGATAACCGTGTCTT